TTCCGTGGCTGAACACCAATGCTACCGACGCCAGGGAGGTAGCTCCCACACCTGGACCCTACCTATCGACCCATCAACTCATGAACCGGGGACCAACGTTTTTACTTCCCTTCCAAAGAAAGGCGTGATCAGAGACGTTATGCCTTAAGAACATCCCGGCTGCACCGACTGGGATTGAACCCAGGCCTGCTGGGGTGAGAGGCAATCACGCTTACCACTATACCACCGGCGCCGCTGATTACTGGACCTGTTGAATATGATCTAAGCAAAGCTAAAAATATGGACGATGATGTTTAAAAAAGCTTTTAATTTCCCAGAACTTATGTATGGCAACCGTCACTTATGTGTAGAAACAATGAAAATGTTTCACTGATTCTCCCAATATGTATGGCTAACGTCACATCACCACTTTTTTATGTGTTATTAAGAATGCAGAACTCGAATGTGATGGAAACTGAAAATTAAACGCTGGCGCTTACGTCACTTTCTCATCTCACGGTAGTAATTATGTTACTGCGATGTGTGGTGATGTTTTCCAACTGAAAACAGGCCTTTTTACGGATTGTGTAGTGCTGTAGTTTGTTGACGCAATGATTAACTTTTTTTTATTTACCCAACCGAGAAATGTAAGATTCTATTACAAAATTTGCAATGTTTCGCGACATGAACAGTTTCTGTTCAAAGAAGGAAATCATCTCGTGAAGGTTTTATACTAAGATATCATGTCATGTCATCATGTCATCAAATAAGTGAATTCTTCTAATTCAACACATTCTCTTGATTCACGCAATTCAGCAATCACTAGAAAATTGCATCAATCCTGGCTATGTCCAGTTTGAGGAATTGATAGAGATACTTTAGCCTACCTGCCATGGTTGAGGATATTTCTCTTATTAAGACTGCAGCACTGTTAATCTTTTAAAGCGATGCTTTTTTTTATTATATCATAAAGTTCTCTGATTTCTCAAAAATTACAAATCTGTCTCATGTGCGAATTTTTCCTTATAATCGTATCATCACTATTTTCAAAGACTGAATTTCAATGGTCAAGCGTGACAGTATCTGCTAGTAATTGTTATTTTGTAAAAGATTTCATCTCGATACTCATTCTTGTTTTCGAGTGATAGGTTTTCCTATATTGTTAGCTCACCTAGTATTTATCGAATCAAAAATATTTAACTTTGAAGCGCATAACGTTGGTTGACCTTACTTTTGAGATCGCGTACAAATGTTAGCGGACTTTAAAAATATAAACTGTTCTACTATATAGAATTAGATCTTTGGATTTCGTTTTCTGTATCTATCTAAAACACGATATTTTCAACATATTCGTTAAAACGCTACCGGAAAAGAAAAGTTATGTTTGTTGGGAATCCATAAAATTAAAACAAATACATTGACGATGATTGCTGACGAGAACTGAAAACACTTTGGCCGGCGGCGACTAGCCATGATCCAGTGTTGTCACTTGCGTTGATTCCAATGTTTGCTCCAGCGAAGCTGCTTGGTCTCAAATTTTAGTGATGTAATCTTGAGGATACTCAATGCTCCAAGATTCCTTACTGTAGTGCCAGTTTTGTGTGGTGTGTCGGATGTTGTTGTGATTATCGAAAATCAACGAAATGGAAGTGGTGAGAGTAGGTAAAGGGAGGAAACAGAAAGAAACAAGTAGGTTAGGGATAATATTTGTTCAAAGTAAAGCAAGAAGGTAAAAGATTAAATATATTTATGTTAGAGTAATTTGAAATAAAGTAACAGTAGGAAAAAGTTTGAAACGGACTTGCGCTGTTCTTGTAAATATTGGGGATGCAAAATTTTGTTCCTTTATTTAAGAATAATTCATCACGATACGCGGTGATAAAATAATGGTATTTATCTAGCATTTTTACTTTCGATGCAAAAACTATTAGCGAGATATTACATTTGGCAGAAAATATTCATATCACGACTTGATCTACTCTGTATCCGGTTTATTTACATTGATGGAACAGAATCATTTTTACTTTATACAATATTTACAGGAAGCTGATCAGCTGACTGACGAAGCTTTAACATTGAGTTATCGGTTTTACGATTAGCAGACTATGCTGAAACATTTTCATGCTGTTGGAATGGATTCAAATTTTCTTAGACTTCATCTAGCGTAAGAAAATTAATACCTATTTGGTTGATAATAGGTGAAACGTATTTTTACTGTCGTCACAACCTATAGCTCTAAGCAATTGGAAAAAAAAGCTGAAGCACTTATAATTTAAAGAAAAAGTTATGAGCATCTGATAATGGTGCTTTATCTGCCGAACAAAATGAGTGAACATGCAGCAAGAGAATGCTTAACAAAATCTAGAAACAAACTAGATACTCAAAACTGTTACTTTCAAAACTGCAAAATGATTGCTGCTCCTGATTTCTTGACAATGGACAAAATTTTGCACCAATTTCGTTTGACGACGGAGGTTTGGTGTGAAAACGAACTGAGAAAAAATATTGTCGTGAATTGGTGGCGTGTATGAAAAATGTCGATTTATAAGTTGGTTAAATCAGCTGCTGCGTGATGTAAAATCGAAAATAAACTTTCAGTAGTCTAGTTCGTCTTCCTCGTCGTCACTACGGCACAGAAGTTTGCTATAAAGTATAAGAAAAAAAGAAGCGAAAAATTGTATTCTTATGTAAGACATGAATATCAATACATACACACACGCAAGGTAATGCGATAACAACATAAAGCGAATGGGGGTTGAGTTTTCGAAGTCAAGTACAGCAAATAGTTTTGTTTAACAGTTCGATGTTTAAATATAACTTGTGTTAATCCAGTATTTAACATATTTAATTTTTAAATCATATTGGTTTAATGAGATTTGTCTACAAAAGAATTTGATTGTGTCATGATCATGATCAGTGTTGATTTTTTGCTAACAACACCGTTTTTTAAACCGTACATGCACGAAAACATCATATCAGAAAGATTGGCAACTTTGTTAGAACCCAAGTACAGATATAGCAGCGCTGTGCTTGTGCAAAGATGGATGCATACAAATTTCCCAAAACCCCAAAAACTCTTCTGACGCTGGAAACTGTGCTATCGAATTTTAGGGGTAGATTACGCGAAAGTGCCTTTCTTAATAGTGTGTGTCATGTGAGAAAACGGGCGAGTTACCAGTTGATTAGTTGTCTTTAATATGCGCTAATGAGGCAGAAATTTATGATATTTTTGCAAGCTTATTGATTTTACACTATGTTTGTAATATAACTATCACAAACGAAGTGTGCCGTGAAAATTGTTTCTATCTATAATCTACTCATATAAATAAGGGTGCTCGAAATTAACGAAATTTCTCTATACAGCTTAATCCATTCTAAAATTTTGAGCTCATTTGGTTGAAAATTTTAGCTCGTTTGGTTTAAATTATTTATGGAAATTACTATAGAAAAACTGATGTTATTGTTCACCTTATCCTAGCCTTTCGCCAATGTCTTCTTTTTTTTATTAAACGTCAAGAAATTATGCGTATTGCTTTACATTCCTATTTCTATGTTAAAAATTTAGGCAATTCATAGTTAAGAATAATGACTTCTTCTGCCATACGACGTACGACGCTAGATCACCAGTGCTGAAAACGTCGACCGTACACGATGATATCAGGTATAACTTTCTAAGGCCCTTCATACGCGAACCAAAGTACGCCCACGCAAAAAAAATACCACTTTCGGAAAGGTGATAGTTGCCCCTATCCGATGATGTTGTTGGTTTTGCGTGGGCGTACATTGGTTTGCGTATAAAGGACCTTAGAAAGTTTGTTTACAAATGCTTTTGTGCCGTTATCAAATGTTATGCCTGATATTGACAAAACAGCTTTAGTCACTTTCACGAAATGCAAATGATCTTTCAAGGACGCCATGCCATTTTTCAGTGACAATAGTCAGTGAAGAACATGTGCATGTTTTGTTTTCAGTTAAATTTCTAACTCAATTAAATAAGTTAAATTAAATAAATCAATTGACCCATCAAAGTAAACATACATATGCGTCCTAAACTGCATGAATGAAGAATGTACACACTAAAAATTGGTCATAATCAGACAACTCCTATATGTTTTTTCCGAGCTCGCTCAAAATTTATGATAATCTTAAAAACAAAGTTTGGGATCTCAGCTCTCGATGAAAATAAACTTACCATAACTAATGTTCAAATTAAATAAGGATTTTTTTTTAATATTATTAATGAATGTATTATATTATAATTTACATATATTTATCCAGCCATTCCATAGCAAAACGATATAGTGGTTCTCTGAATTTCGTAAAAATCGCAAAACAATTACACCCGTATTTTTTTATTTTGTCATTAGGGTGACCATTTTCATAACATGAAAATGGTGGTCAAAACAATTGATTTTTTCGATCATAACTTTTGAACCACTGGACCGATTTCAAAGATAAAAGGTAATCAAAAATACTTTTTAGGAAAAATACAACAATATTGAAAAATTGGGATATTGTATTTTAAAACATTGATTGTATTTGTGTTTTATAGTTTTCATGGTTTGTAGACGGTGGGCACAATATGTGTGTTTTTTTTTAAATATTTTTTCTTGACAATTTACACAACATATCAAAACATCAGCGATGTGCTTTTTTCGTTTTAGAGTAATATTGTTGGTAGTTATCAAGTTTTGGGATTTCGCTCCATACTCCTATCAGGATCAGAAATTGAAATAGACAATGTGGCCATGTTACAGTCGCTATAAATCAATGGAGACATAGTCGCATAGTTTGCTGTCGTTGAGTTTACTAAAATAATACCCAATTAGGTAAAATCTTGTTAGCATGTAATGTAGTGTATGTAAATTAGTGCTTGACCATAATCCTCGAAAACCTGACACACTTATTCTACATAATACGATGATTTCCTATGTTAATAACCAAAAAAAAAAAATTATCATATTTAAGTGTTACTGTTGGTCATCTTTCCTGATTTAGACCATCGATAGACATACCGAGTAGTACCGTTACACAGGCAAACATACATAACAGATTGAATATTACTCACTGTAAAACATCCTCGCTAAAACATTACCGCCATCTGTTGAGTTCACTGCGGTGGGCAGTACGCTGAACAGATGGCGGTAGTGTGTAAGCGTCAAACGCAAGGGAATTGACTATGCGCGCCACAGGTGGCGGTACTACCAACTATGATACTTTTAAATAGACCGTTAAAAACTTGTTCGATGAACAACTTGCGAGTGTTATGTCTGTTTGTCTGTGACCGTTATATCCCTTTAATCTAGTACCAATCGACGTAACTCAGTATGTCTGTCGAATCTTTGCATGTTTCGTGTCCAATTTCAAAATGACTTGATCATATCTCATCATACAAACATTTCCTAGCAACATAAACGTCTAATGTTATAAAGTTTTACTAAAACCTCGAATAGCTAAAAAGTAATGATGTTTTGAAGTGTTATGTTTGATATGAATTGAATTTATAATTTATTTCATATTTGACTCCATTACAAAAAAATACAAGTATTTTTAAGTTAAGACAACTCCAATGAGATCTTAGGCCTCGTTTTAGAAAATAAAGCAAAATAAAAAAGTAATACTTAAAAGTCAGCCTTAAGGCTCGTCATTAGTAATCATTGAACAGTTTCCATTAAGTTGATTTGCTGTACGGACAATACGGGACCCAGTGTAGATTAGACTGGCATTATTTGAAAGGATCTTTTCTGCATTCATACAGATCCATACAATTTTGTTTTCTGTTAGCCATTTTGTGCATTGTGATGCTGGAGTGTTCCGATCCAATCAAAACCTAGTATGTGGATTACGTTAGTGGTTGTGAATGTACAAATCATTTCAGTGTTGAGGCAAATTGCGAACAAGCATACTTTTTGACGATAGTGAAGGTGACAAAAATGCGAGTGTAACTTTCTTGAGGGTTGGAATAAAATGAGATAAGATGTGAATTTATATTACAAAAGTGGAAATACTTGTTTAGCGTACGCACATCGAGGATAGATCTGGTCTATTGCGCGTCAGAGGAATATTTATCATCAGAGTGTTCGAAAGTTATAGCATGAACGGAAGAGCACACACACAGGCAATTGGCAAAATGCTGGTGGCGTGATATGTTTTCGTTTTCATTGGTCACTTTGGATAGAGTGTTTGGAATTGTTTGGTTTCTGATTGTGGTTTAGTTGGAGTCAAAATGTCAACTACCTTCAAAAGAAAAGAAAAGCATATTGTAGTCAAGACCGTCACTTTTCCATACTCACTTTTCCTTAGTAGGATACTTTTCTGCGTAGACGCGGGGCGATTTATGGCAAGCCTTGTCACAGCACGGGCAGTACCAATAGCTAAGCACACCGATCGAAACCGCGAAGAGCACATTTGGTATGATTAGCGAAAGAATCAGATGCTTCAGATTGTCATCCCAAGAATAGCGAGCCACCACCATTTCGGGATAGGCACGACTATAGTAACAAGGAAAGGGTTTTCCATCCTGAGTATTCCTGCAAAGTAGAGAAGAAAAGCATTTACCTTTAGGAATAGTTGTTCATGAAATTTTACTTACACATATTTCTTTGCGAATTCCGTACAGTTTACCCTTGGTGGGTAACCACATCCTTCAGTGTTTACGAGAAACTTGGTGTCCATTACGTCCCATTCTACATTGTTTAGGTCTCGTGGTTCTTTTTGCCATTCGTGATATGCAATTTTAGAATAGTTGACCAGTATCTGGTGACAACGGATGGCTGCAGTCGTACAGCCTTCTCGACACGAGCTCCAGGTACAGTTGCGCATCCCTTCGCCATACACGTGCTCGGTCAAAATACAGGTCACTGGAACAGGATCGTAATCGGCTACGATGGTAGATATGGCCGGATCTACCACGAATGGTATCAGGAACAGAAACGCAAATACTGATAGAATAGCGGTCGTTCCTGGAATGATGCCTCGCGTTGTGTACCATGCAAATAGGGGATCGCGATGGCAAATTTCTCTACTCACCTAGACACAGTGATGTGTAGAACTTGGCTTTCTCCAGAAACTCAGCGATGATCTCTTCTCGCGTTGGTGGTTTTGGCTCTTTGTCGGATTCGGAAACGGTCTGCCGACTGTGTGTTAGACTCGCCTTGCTGTTGTTCAAGCTAGGTTTGCTCATCGTTACCAAACTAGGTGCCGCCGACAGTGTTGACGAGGATGATCTTAGTTCGTTCGACCTCATCTTGTTCTTTTGAATGATTGTTGTTTGCACGGAATGAATAAAACTACTTGTTTCTTTGGGTGCTTGAGTTAATTTTCTTTTTGTTTAAAGCGACTTTCATATGTTTTTGTTTTCTTTGTATTTTTTGCCGTTTTAGATTCTTTACTTTTGTTTGGCTTCAAACCGAGTATTGCTTAGTAATAATTCGCCTATTTTTCTTGCCTTGCTAGTTGCTCTATGTGTGATGTTTTAAGCATTTTAAGTTGTTTAAGGTTTGATAATTCACGCATTCCTCTATTTTCGTTCTCTCTGCTGCTCTTTTTGGTGATATCGTGTGTCCCACTGATGGGGACAACTTGGCGCTCATTTGGTGCACACGGGACGAAGCTGTTGTTTGCGCGTTCGTGATATAATCCTTTCCCTGCAGTTGTATCTGATTACGTTTTCGTGTCTATCAACGTTGGTGTAGATTTTCAACTTTTCTTATTAATGAAATCTTAAAACTGAATCTAATTCAACGAAAGCATTCGCAATAACAAATATTATACGATACAGGTGACTAAATACGAAACACCGGGTTCTTTCTTAATGCCATAAGTTGCCTTAGGTTACTGCGGGTTAATTCACAAAAGCGAACATTAACTTTAAACAACAATATTGGTATCAAAATAGAGCTCTCTTCTGTCGGTAACACAACTATAAACGGTATCTATGATACTGGGAATACAGTTCGGGTTTGTATTAACTTATCATATTGGTCATTGGATGTAGTCGAGGATTGGTAACGATATTCTTCAGCGCAATAAACGTTTTCCTTTGCGTACAAGTCTCGTTAAGCATTCGAAAAGGACGTATCGTGCCGTTACTTAAGTGGTTTGAAAGGGATAAGATGTGTTATTGTCATTAAATCTTAACACTGCTGCGCTCCTTCTTTCTCAACTAAGAACTATATGGTGCTCACTCAATATAAAGAAGACGAGAAAAATAAATCGACCTATCTGTTCTGTCGAAAGTAGACGAAGAAGAAATTGAACTCCTGACGTAAATCAGTGCAGTGAAAATACACCCGCTTGATGAACTGGACTGTCTTCTTGCAGTAGAGGAATGCCTGAAACGGGATAACGGAGAAGGATTTTTCTTTATTATTATGCTATATCTACTGCCATGCAACAGTTAGATCACAGAAATGAGGCATTTTTCCAAATGATTGTGTGTGTCTGCAGCAACAGCTCCGTAAAAACGACAAGGATTTCCTTTGGGAACGGCATGCACTGTGTTAGGCTCCAGCGAACGCATGAAATCCTTGTTGTTTTAATCGATAGAACGATGACGGTGGAGGCGCTGCATCTACTTTTCTTTTCGATGTGTACGAATATAATACGAACAATTACTATTTTTTGGAAAACTGTCTCATTAACTGAGTCTACCGTATGCAAATCACGGGAGAAGAAATGCAAAATTGTCCTTACGTGATGGATCTCAGAGAGCCATAACCGAGTCGCCGCCTCCACCGCCATCACCAGAGTTGGCTTTAGCTTTATTGTTGGCACCAACAGTTGGCGATAAAGCATCCTTGTTCACACAACCGACGAAACGCATCCTGGCATCATCGCCAATGTAGATCGTTTTCTGGCAGAATATCAAAGTCAAACAGGACACGGCGAACAGAATAGTTGGTATGAAGAATCCAACCACAAACTGCTTGTACGAAGTCTCCATGTCGAAGCGGGCAACTACCATATCTGGCGTGTTTTTGGAATAGAAACAAGGAAACCGTGCTCGAGCGTTGTGATCAGTACCATCCTTTCCGTACTCTTTGAGGAAATCTTTGCATTCGTCCTGTAGCGTATTGACGCAGCCTTCCAGGTTTATCATCAGCTTCGATTCGTTGGATATGGTCAAGTCCTGTTCTAAAGGTGCAATCGTTTTGATTGGTGTGGCAACAGCATAGTGCAGATAGCTGAGATACGTGAAGTTGGTGAGATCGGTTAGCTCATCCTTTTCTAGGAGAGATCCATTGATGCAATCAGTTGCTAGAATGCCATTGCTTGTGTTCTGAATAGTATAGCATGAAGACATTATCACTTTGTTGTCTGCTTCGGTCCACACTTCGGCATTCGTGTCTGTATCAATCGCATTTGAACATTGCGAAAGATAAACTTTATCTCCACTCAATAATATCATATTCTTATTCCTGGTCGGAATGTCCACACAACGGCGGTCGCAATTGTATGGAGTTTTTATCTTTCGACATGTTCCACGATTGCATGAGAACAGTCCATTTATGTCGATACATGTGATTTTGCCGCGTCGTCCGGAACACTTGAGTGGTACATCGGTGTTTTTGAACACACATTCAAATGCATCAGTTATATTGATACACATTCCCGTAGTACAATTGAAGGTTCCGGTAAGGTTCTTGCACTCATCCGCTATGCAACGGGCTTTCTTAGCATTCTCTTGATCTATCCCGTAGCATGTTTTATTAGCAGAATTGGTACAATTCTGGAACGTTAAACTACTTCCGTTGGTGCGAAGATGAACAAAAATCTGTATGCAGGCACCCGAGGTTTTACTGAGACACCATTCGCCACAGGAACCCCACTCGCATGCATCCTTATTAAGGGCCTTGGTAGTTGTGCACATGACCGGTGTCTCATCGATGCCACTCTTCATGACACGTGACGATGGCATGTAAATTGCCACGGTCAGATAGACAATCGCTACCGTGCTCAACACGAAGGTTAACTGACAAACACATATGACGCCACAAATTCGTGAGTTCTGTGGGGGTATGATCAGATCCTCCACGGGGGTTGGCTTCTTTTTCCCCATTGCTTGAAGGTACTTACCTAAGCTCTAAGCTGTTTCGTTTATACCTGTTGATTATTGGATAAGGTGAATATTGTTCAGTGAAGTCATCTGAAGCCAGTGCTGAAATTGTGTGGAATTACTACACCAACAAAAATAGGCCATTTTGAAATGCCAATTCGAATCCAATTTCCACATTTTCTCAAAGACATGGACACTGATGATAGTCTCTATTTTACTAGCTGGCTTAGCATGGGATTTTTTTTTTATTAGAGAGATTTTCAGCCTTAGTATGGGAAAATGTTAAAAAGAGTTTTTTTACCAGAAATTAGAGTTTACAGTGTTTTTGAATCAGAAGGGGGAGCCAGTTAATCAATTTATAGACGCTGAATATGTGACGAACTTTGGTTTTCTGGTTTACACATCATATCTTATAATTTCAATGAACCAAGCGTGATGCTTTAAGGAAGAACACATCTGTTCGATCAAGTAAAATCTGTCAAATTAAATTTGCGGCTGTGGAAGCTTACAAAAAAAAGCTTTTCAGCAATTTCTCTGTGTAATCTTAACTCTGAAAGCAATTTATCGATACCATTTCATGGTTGAAAGCCGATTTCGGAGAGGGATTTCAAGATTTTGAAAAGAATTGAACAGCCCATCGTATGGGTCAACTCCATTTGGTGGAAGATTGCAGCTTGCATATGGAGATAATGGAGTTGCAAAACGACAGTGAAATACAATCACTATTAATTGAAATATTTGAAATGCAAAGAATTTTCTAGTTTTACTTATATGTACCCATTTAAAGCAGGTGCTCAGGTAAATTGAGGTAGATATTTATTAAATCTTGCTTAGTCAAAGATACCATACACGTGGTGCCAGTGGTGTAGTGGTAAGCGTGATTGCCTCTCACCCCAAAGGGTCTGGGTTCAATCCCAGTCGGCGCTTCCGTGATTTATTGAGGCATAAAATCTCTGATCATGCCTTCCTTCGGAAGGGATGTTAAGCCGTTGGTCCCCAGTCCATGAGTTGAAGGATTAATAGGTAGAGGGTCTAGGTGCGGGAGCTGCCTCCCTGGTGTCGGTAGCATAGGTACTCAGTACGGAAAACGAAAACGACGGAAAACAAATCAAGGAAAAAATAAGTTTACCAGACCCTGGATGTAATGTCGGCCTAAATGCTAAAATCAAGCAATCGACTAAATTTTCAATAGCAACCAAAAAATATTCATTAGTACCGTCCCCATGACGCGTTCATCTCGATAAAATTGATAGATAGCAGATTTTTAGCGATGGGCCCAAAAAAAAAAACATTAGAGCCATTGCCCCTAACATGATTTATTTCAATTGTTTTTAATATTCTGTTTTTAATTGAAGTACATACAACATAAGGTGCTTCATATTAAAAAAAATCTGGTAGGCCACCCTCCAGTTCGATTAATAACCCCAAAATATGAACCTTTGCAGCTTATCTTGGATTTGATGAACGGATCTAACTGTAGATGATTGAAATTTATTAAATCATACACTTGCGCCATTTTGAGCAACTCAAATCATAAACTCTTGATCAATTCTTATAGGAATTTTATCAATCTTCAAAAATCTACCTTAATATTTTAAGGTTACTTTTCATTTGTTTCAGTACGAATACTGTCAAACAGTCAAGCAACATCGTGGATATTGCTATTGGTTTCAAATGCGTGCTCAGTAATACCCTCTTGTCCCGCGTAGATGGCGCCTAAATCTAGCTTTTTACTCTGATATTCTGGAAACATAGGGAAAATGGCTCAAATGTTGGCCTATGGATCTAAGATTGAGCCCATCGCTAAAAATATGCTATTTATCAATTGTATCTAAATGAACGCGTCATTGGGAATGTACTAATGGATATTTTTGGTTTCTATTGAAAATTTAGTCGATTGCTGAATTTATGTATGGGCCCAAATTAGGGACACTTAGGCCGACATTACATACATTTCCCTTATCTGAAAAGTTGGTTATCTTAAGAAAATAAACAACTGTTTTGAAAACGTCAAAATTCTGCTGCTTTTAATTTCCTAGATACAGTCATCTCTCCACAACTCGATATTTTCTATAACTGGATGGATTCATGGGTCCCTTATTTTTTTTAATGTATCGTAATCTCGATAAGTCGATATTTTTACTGGTCGATTCCTCCTTTCATCAATGCTAGAGTTATGTTTATTTAAAAACTCTGGATGTTAAAGGCAGAACTTCTGCTTTCTTTGATTTTTTTTCCATGATTTGTTTTCCGTCGATCTTGTTTTCCGTGCTAAGCACCAATGCTACTGACGTCGCCAGGGAGGCAGCTCCCACACCTGGACCCTACCTATCGACCCATCAACTCATGAACCGGGGACTAACGTCTTTACTTCCCTTCCGATGTTAGTTTTACTAAGGTTGGTTTTACGAAGGTTCAATAGACCATGATTTAGACTTGTAGAATGCTTTAAAACTTGAAATGTTACTTGGGTACATTCGTAAATTCTTGAAAGTAAAGCAGTGCCGTATTAACAACAAAGACATCAATCATATCCTTCTCAATCATATGTTTCAAGAAATTAATCGTTGCTCGGTTTACAATGCACCAATTTTGTAAGGTTTCTGTTTAGTCGCCTAGAATGCACTCGATTTTATCTTTTAAATATATCCAACACCTATGATTTACAAAAAACATGCGTATTTATAAAATATACCGCATTAAATGCATTTTCACAATTTTTACGTATTTAGGTGAGATGGAGTAATCCAGTGGAAAGTATATTGGTAATCCGTTTCTTGCAGTTCTTGAAATAAAACCACTCACGATGCTGAATTTGTGGTCTTTCTATTTTCTGTAATGTTTACGTTCTAGGTGTTTTTTTTTTCCAATACACAATGACTTTAAAGTCATCTCGTTTGTTTTTAATAAGCTAAAATTTAAAACCAGATGTAGATGAACTGTACAAACTAATTATTGACATATGGACTGAACCTAAGTAGTATTGCAAGTTTGATCAAAGTTTTAAAACATTCTATTAGTCCAAATCATGGGAACAAGGCTGTGGAAAAACCAACATTGCTATTAGGGCATTTGATTTTCCCAAATGTGAAAATAATCCTCAGGAAATTTATTTCAATGATGAGTCATTTAGATTAAAATGAGTAATAAATAAATTGAGTCTTAATTTGTTACTGATCATAAACATTGAGTACGAAATATTGATGTAAATTTATATCCACACTTTTTTTTTCAAATTCGCAAGTATTAGGAGTCGAAAAAAAAGATTTAGTTGATTCAGTTTAAACGTGTTTTCAAATTAAAGCATTTTAGAAGAATAAATTTAAACGAAAAAGGTTTGTCGCAAGTTTTCATTTTAATATTATGTGTATTAGAGCTAGGCAAATTAAATCATCTATGATGGCCGCGCAATACAAAAGTAGTTAAGACGCCCTGAAGTAAAGGGAAAAGCCTTTTGAATATTTTTTTTATGAAAGAGGCTTAATGTTACATACATTTACAAACCATAAATATAATGACTTCAGGAGAACTTGAATATTTTTCATAAATATTGACTGTTATACTTCTATTTATTTTATCAAACCATAAGAGTAAAAAATGGTACGAGCTGTCAACTCAAAAATACCAAAACACAGTCAACTCTACACCTCGCTAACTCGATATCGAGTTATAGAACAAAAAAAAAACATGAAACACATTGGCGTAGCTAATGGGGGTGCCAGGGGGGCAAGCCCCGTCCATAATTATCTAGCCCCCCCTCCAGAATTATCTAGGCCCCCTCCAGATAAATTATCTAGCTACGCTAATACAAGCATGAATTAGATTTCGATGGTGATTCCCCATGGGATTTTTGTTCTATAATTCAATGCATTCAGTTGTGTTTTTATGCGATTTTTTCGTCCGTGTTTTGGATTGTGTGATCTAAACTTGCAGCTAAATTTAGTGCAACTTATTTCAAAAAAGCAATAAAAAATTGAAGAGCTTTGAGTGGGTTGGTTTATTTCCTTTAAATTCCGTTATAATTGCTTATCTTTTGACAGATACGCGTATTTCGTCTACTACTTGCAGACTTCATCAGTGCCAAGTACTCAACACCACTTGGATGAAGTCTGCAAGTAGTAGACGAAATACGCGTATCTGTCAAAAGATAAGCAATTATAACAGAATTTAAAGGAAATAAACCAACCCACTCAAAGCTCTTCATAAAGAGATTCCGTTAAGAGGTTCGACAAATTTAAAGGATCAATAAAAAATTGTATTAGTGATCCTGACGATCGGCTTCTTCGCAAGTTTCGGTCGTGGCTTGGTTCCAGCACCTACACGTGCTTCCATGGCTTGAAGGTGATTACACAGTCGATTAGGTTTCGACCCGTTAAACTACACTAATAAGAAATATCCCAACCAGCGAGTTTCAACTGTGTGCCTATGTAGCCCAGGATTCAATTTTTTTTCCTTGATTTGTTTTTCGTCGATCTTGTTTTCCGTGATGAGCACGAATGCTACCAACGCCAGGGAAGCAGCTCCCACACCTGGACCCTACCTATCGACCCATCAACTCATGAATCGGGGACCAACGGCTTTACTTCCCTTCCGAAGGAAGGCGTGATCAAAGATATTATGCCTCAGAACATCCCGGCGGTGCCAACTGGGATTGAACCCAGGCCTGCTGGGGTGAGCGGTAATCACGCTTACCACTACACCACCGGAGTCGCTGAGGTTTCAATCTTAACACTTAACACATAAGAATTCACTATGCAATAATTTGTGCAGTTCGCCCAATTTCTACCAAAAATACAACAGGGTAAATATACAAATGTTTGGCCCCCATCCCGCTATTTAAATTCCGTATTAAAATCTGCATTTGCCGGATTAGCACTGGCGCTCTGCCTCTCGGACGGTTATATGTGTGTGATTAGTAGTTTTCTCGCTTTCCGGGAAGTTTTAGAATCGAGCAAGCATCAGAAACGATGTCGCAATCTGCGTTGTTTGTTTTTTCTCCCGGATCAGAAATTAGAGGCATCGCGAGTGATAGTTTTAAACTTCAGTTTATTTATGCGTGTATCATTTTATGATTTTATTTTTCGCGTCAAGGAGATGCAAGTTGCCGTAAATTCGATCATTCGGGTGAGACCCTTTCTTTTTGTTTGTTTACATTTTATTTTATTGGATTGGAATTAAAACTGAGGAGCTCGGCTAGCTTGACGGCTACCGCTTTTGCTTACTGAGTAGAAGATCGTGGGTTTATTCCCAAGCTCCACCAAAACAAAACAATTACTATGGTCGCATCGCCTGTTTAAGCGAATCCTGACCCATCTTCTACCCAACTATCCAACTCCGTAGCATCTATGGGGGCGTCGGTGAGGCGCTGGCCTTCCGTTAAGTAGATGTTACATCAACAATATCATTCCTTTCCCCGTAACGGAGAAGATGGGCGTGCCCGGCAATGGTAATTGTCATGCTATTCCTATTTTGAATTCTGATTAAAGAGCTATTCATTCCCAAATAGTTTTCCTTAAGCAATTAGAATAAGAATGTTAAAGTAGATACATGACAGTTGCCAGTATGCAACCTACGAATTACTCCGTTACAAACGCAACGCAACGCAACATTAAGCTGCATCCAAAATAGGCAAATTTTCTTTATTATCATTATCTTTATTGATTTAAAGTACATTCCTGGCCCGAAAATTAGAGCTTAGTCGAACATAAGTAAGCTTACCAATTTTCAATCTACCTTGCTTTGACGCACTTACACGAGCTTATGCCTGCTCTCCACTTAGTGATCTATGATACACTTCCACAGTTATTAGATGATAAAGTTTTGGGACGACCTTCTACCAGCGATTTTTACAAAATGAAACAATCAATTCCAGATTGTCCATGCTTAGCATTCATAAGACCTCAGACCAACACAGCAATACATTAATTTTAATATCACAACAAAGTGGATGCCCTTCAATCGTGTCGAAAATATGGTGTAATATTGCTTGCCAAAAAGGATAAAATTATCATTAATACAGTGCATGAGCTGACATTGCGTTGCTTTTACTCCATTTGTTTATTTTTGTGGCCATAAAAATTACATGAGATTTTTGACATGATTGAAGTGCATCCTCTTGGATGTAATATTAAAATTTATTATTTACTGTGAAACGTCATTTAAAACTGCTCGAATGATATGATCTATTGGAGCTTTATATACCGACCGAATGTTTGTTTGCCACACAATGACAGAACAGTCAACAATACCGAAGCCGAAAAAAAAAAAATCCAAGCCGAAAGATATTCCAGACCGGAACCTGGTTATATATCGTGCCTTAATTCAATAGACTATCTGAGGCTCACTTAAACTATACCCTTCAACATACCATGATATTTTTTGTATTTTTATTTAAATTATGTTTATAAATCACAGATTACATAATTTCAAACATATTTTGGAGGTGTAATTTCATCAGACAATATTGTGATGAGAGCTATAGTTGATTGCGCCTATAAAAAAACAAGAATGCACACAAGATGGAACTATTTCACAAACCAAGATTGTTTGTCAGTTCATACTTTTTTTTTTCAAATAAAAGAGATAATTCTAAATAAAGGAGACTTTTCAATTTGAGCTGGATCGCATTTAATGTATATACATTAGTTGAAAAACAGCCTTCACTTGACAACTGTGATTCCAGATCAGATTTAATCATTCATCCAAAGATCTCAATTTTGTGCACTTGTGCCTTGGAGTGGACACCATCTAATTTTGCACTGCAGTATTTACTCAACCATCTAATTTTGCACTGCAGTATTTACTCATTTTTCTGTTCTCCCTCTCTTTTCCTCTCTTTCATCGATGTGTTAACCTATATAAAATGTAGTGCTTCTCAAAATTGCTTCCTTTTTTATCAATAAATCACATTAGTCACATTATTAAGCAAAAACATTCTGTAAGTTTTGTTTTGTCACTCGAATATTTGTAATGATGGCACTTTTGCACTTGCAAAAACAGTGACGACATTTGTTACACGATACCAACTATCTCTCTCGCTCACATGCCATCATAGAAAAAAAATGTGCATGGTGAAAAATCAATTTTTTCGATTAACATGGCTTCAAAGTGGAAAAAGGCGATTTTCATGATTCGTTTTACACAATTGAAGTTAAATCAAACCACGTAGCGTGTCACAAATTGATATAAATTATCTGTATGCTTTCCATAGACTTTATTTTACATCACTTACTTTTCTCTTTGTTCCAGAACAATCACCAGATAATTCCATGAAAAAGTCTGAAATATTCGCTTTTCTTCGATTGCTTCACCAATATTTAAGTGCCCCAATATCTCAACTGAGCAAATCAATCACTTCACTAGAAGATTTGATCATGTTCACCAGCGCAATTAAATTACTTCATTGTGATTTTGAAAATTTTTCACAGGCTACCGACAATCGCGTACATCCTGTGTGCTTTCCGTAAGATGAATGAAATTTTCTTCCTCGCTATTGTCCTGTACACTCGGCGCGTCGGCGAGAGAACATTAGAGCGAGAAAATTCGGGAAATTGCAAAGCGCCGACGCATCACATGGTGTCTAGTACCAAACATGTTGTTTACCATTGAATAGGATACCGAATGCGAAGAAGGATATTTGGAGAGTCCAATGGCATCTTGACATCCTAGTATACCCAGCGGTTTGCGTTTTGGGGGCTTGTATTAGCACAGGGTGATTGCTTTTACAAAATCTTACACGAAATTAGTCTTATTGATAGACCGATGTATTAAAAGCCACAATTGTACATTTTGTTGTATTATTGTAAAATTGTTATCAATGCTAACAAATGTCATAGCAAAGATCTCCAGGAATACAATGTCTTCAAAACTATGGATAATGTATTGAACACTAGATGGCACTAATACGAAAATGGTCAAGTTTAAGTATCATCAATGCAGAGAACCTGTAGCTCATGTTGGAGGTTGCTGGGGATTGAATTGATTTTTATGGCTGGAAAATTTCTCGACTTCCCTGGACATAGAGCCTGATTGTACTTGCCACACAATTGCTAATGCAAAAATGATACAGGCATCGAAAGCTCTCAATTAATAACTGTAGAAGTGCATCTAGAACATTAAGTTAAGCTAATATGCGACAAGCAATGAGCTTGAAATACGAAGAATAATAATAAGAACAAGAAGAAGAGGACTGTCTTTTCAAATGAACTAAACCTATTTCATGGTAAATAGTTCAATTCAAAATTAGCTCACTAGACAGCGCTAGTGTACCATTTCATATATAATTATTTGCTTTTACTTGATTTCTTGACTAGATTGAAGGGTGATGTTTTCGTCAATGTTGATCAGGTGTACAAGATTTATTGTAGCTTAGTTCAGAATTAATTCATCAGGCGGCGGTAGTGTGCCACAAAAGGTTGAATGTGCAAAAGGTTGAATGAACAATGGTCGAAGAGGCAAAAGGTCGATTGGAGGTTAGGGGCAAGCATGGAAACATTCATTCTCTCGCGCGAGTATCACAGAAACAAAATAGCCATCTTCCTCATCTACACACAGATTGCCGAACAAGTGTAAATTATTCCAACCAATTGACTCTGCCGGTAGACTCTAAACTGACAGCAGTAGAAGGAATGAAGGATAAACTTGAAATTAAATGAAAGATAAACTTTTGAGCTGAATGATTTAAATCAGTAGAATTGGCCACAGCAGTTTTACAGTATTTGCGTGACGCTTACGTTAATGTGTTACAATATAATACTTTTCTCCATGTTAATGGGGTAGAGAACTACTTCGGCCTAATCGCCCATTTTGGGCCTATCGAACAGAAAACTTCAAATAAATCCATGATTTCAGAGTTAACAAGTCAATTATGCGATTGGTACGATACTTTAGTTAATAAGCTACGGAACGAAGTCAACGAGAACGCGTGATTTGAAGGTTTGTACCCAATATTCCCAAAAACAAAAGAAGCGCTCCGATCGAATCAACTTTTATCTTCATCCGATAGGCCATAGTGAATTCATTGGCGTTTCAATAGCGTTTCAATGGGTTAGGCCGAGTTTAGCGTCAAGAAGCAGTGTAAGACTTTTGACAATATCTCAACGATTGGTCTCTCTTTATCAAATCTTACGGTACGTACGGAAAGGTAAATAAATTTGGAAGCCATCAGTAATAATAAAATTTCGTTTGGTGCTAAACAGCGCTAGATTAAGAAAGATGAAGTGCGGGTTGTGCTTAATAGGCCGGAAATGGGGTAGTTAACCCTACCACTTTAAATGTGTCAATTTATGTTTAAAGCTAGAAAATAAAAAGTGATTATTTCTACAAAATTCTCACTCAGCTCACTCAGCAGATTGCAATCGTATACGGCTCAACATGCAAAAAAATAATAAATGGGGAATCATCCACACTACTACACCCAAAATCATTCATGTTACGCTAAGCTGTCTGTTTTGCTCCATTCTGCGTTTATCGAAAAAAATAGAAGCTATTGGCAAATCAAAGTTGGCACTCGTGGAGAATAGAAGAACTATGAGAGTGATGACGGTTTCAAAATTTTACACGGTGAGGTATACGAGTGCAATCTTTAAATGCTTTTATTTTGCAAATGGAGCATTTTATTTAAATCTGGTTAATGCTACTTTAGTAGAAAACTTAAGGACTACTTAATAGACGTATAATATAGAAAAAATAATTTCTTTTCAGATTTTTAGGTGTAGACATAGATTTCAGCTTTTCTACAACTGTAGCAGCAACCAGATTTAAATAGAATGCTCCATTTGCAAAATAAAAGCATTTTAAGATTGCACTCGTATACCTCCCCGTGGAAAATTTTGAAACCATCATCATTTTCATAGTTCTTCTATTCTCCACGAGTGCCAACTTTGATTTGCCAATAGAGATTAGTGCCGTTTAACGCACGCTCACTAGCGGGTGCATCGCCGTGTAAAGTTGATTATTATTATCCTCTGGCTAACCAAAAAAATGTATGAAGTTAGATCAAATATTCTACATGATAAGTGTTGTGCCTGAAACTTCAAACCGGTTGGTTAAATCTTTTAGGTGCCAAAGGAAAAATCGTTGGACATTCAATGCACTTGCTCAAACAACACATAAACCACTGATGATACAACACGATAAACATATGAAAAGGTATGAACTCAGGAAAAAATAGACGAGTCGTTCATTTACATAATAACGTAGGGGAAATGGATGTAATGTCGGCCTAAATGCCCCTAATTTGAACCCATACATAAATTCAGCAATCGACTAAATTTTCAATAGTGACCAGAGAAATATCCATTAGTTCCGTCCCAATGACGCGTTCATCTAGATAAAATTGATAAATAACAGCTTTTTAACGATAGGCCCATAGATCCATAGGTCAACATTAGAGCCATTTCCTCTATGTGTTTGCAATTGCGCATCATTCGGTATTAACCTCTTTTTTCATCATCTGCTAGAGTAACATAACGGACTACTCAAAAGCGTATGGAAAAGTATTTTTCGCATGTTGCTAAGTATAGCCTTGCCGACCGAGAGCTTGAAAAATTGTGACAGTCATATTTCATAACCTACGTGATGAGAAAGTGTTGATCATACACAGAGTTGATAATAGAAGAGCTACGCAGACTGAAACCAAAATCTACCTATCGAAGATGTATGTATGTATGTTATGTATGTGATGAGCCCAAAGGTGATCCATGAGCATTTATTTATGCATGTGGTGTTGATGCGAAAGGTGATCCATTTTCCAAAACGACATCAGAAATCGTTATAAGTGGTTTAAATTTATACTTCAAATTTGTAAACGTAGACTTTAAAAAATCAATGAAAAGTTTTTTTTTGCTTGATCTGGTTTTCCGTACTGAGTACCAGGGAGGCAGCTCCCATACCTGAACCCTACCTATCGACCCATAAACTCATGGACCGAGGACCAACGACTTTACTTCCCTTATGCCTCAGGAAATCCCGACGGCGCCGACTGGGATTGCACCCAGGCCCTTTGGAGTGAGAGGTAGTCACGCTTACCACTACACCACCGACATCACTTCCATGAAAAGTTGTTCTTTTTTTAAATATGTTAATATTCTGTTTCACCATCTCAGAGTTATTATTAAAAGGCTCTAATAGACTTCTAAAAAAATTTGCTAAATAAATTTTAAGAAATAAAAAAAATATTTTCTTTTTCAATTTCAATTTGGATTAAGGTTTTGACAAAAGACAATGTTAGCCTCCTACCAGTCCCACCCCGAGTTCAAATTGACGACGTCGAAATCGAGGTGGTTGACGAGTTCATGTATTTGGGCTCACTGGTGACCGCCGAAAATGATACCAGCAGAGAAATTATGGCGCATTATGGCAGGGAATCGTGCCTACTTTGGACTCCGGAGGACGAACGAACCCTAAACAACTGTATGACTGGGAAAATTGTCGTAAAGAGGATCTTCAAACAAAAATATAATTTTGTTATGTTTCTACGGAAGAATACAAAAAGCTGCCAAGGAATTTGATCCGATTTTTAAAAAAGTGAAACCAATTCCTGGGACTCGAAAATACCTTTGGTATATTCCAGTTTCATTTCAAGCAAGCAAATTGCAGTTTAAATATTCTCTAATTCTAACGATACACCCAAAATATATAATGTATTCAAATAATAAGAGTCGTATAAAAAAACTGTTTCTTACCTCATCAATTCAAATCATCTTTAGAACCTCAACGTGTTTCTCTTCCGCTGCGCCTAAATAGAAACGAAGGTACCATATCTGAGAATGAATTGTTTGTATTTTAATATAGGGGAAATGGCTCGAATGTTGGCCTATGGATCTAAGATTGGGCCCATCGCTAAGAATCTGCTATTTTTCAATTTTATCTAGATGAACGTGGCATTGGAACGGTGCTAATGAATATTTTTTGGTCGCTATTGAAAATAGCGATGGGCCCAAATAAGAGACATTTAGGCCGACATTACATCCATTTCCTCTACTATCATGGGAAAAAAATCTCATTGCTGGACATCACGACTAACATTTGAAAATGATATAAAATGATGAAAATTATTATTACTATTATTATTAATTTGTATTAACATGAGAACGGCTGGACTTGGGTAAAAAGTTTATGTGTGCAAGTTTATCGGAAATTATGCGTAGAATCCAAATAAATTATAATTTAACTAAAAATCTTCAACTTTGTAAAAATCCCTGGGCTTTGGCAAAACCTTGAGGTAGTTTAATTAGGCTACCAGGTCCCAGGGCTGATCTGGATCTGTACCACATTGGAAAGATGCACACTAGTGTTGCCAGATCAGTGTTGATGCTTACCAAAAGTGCATTTGAACCCGCTTATAAAAGCATATTAAAAGATTAATCATCACCGTACATTGTTTATTGCTCTGTACTAATAATAAATGATTAAGTACAGCATTTGATATTTTATTAGGAAAGCTGGATTTAGTCACAGTAAAAATCATGTTTTTTTTTAATTTTTTATTGAATTGAATTTATTTTTATGGGTATGCACGTTTGGAAAGTATCATCACAAAGATTCTGCACTCGGTCTACTGCTTGTGGGCGGGAAGCGTTGTTTAGGTTTTTATTATCTATTTATAGAGTCACTTCTTAGAAATACGAAGTGAAAGACAAATCAAGAATTAAGCACAAGACCTTCAAGAAAACTAACAACACGAAGCCTGGAAATGGCAATGTTTCATTCAAAACGTCAAGTATTGCAAGAATATCGGGTGAGACCAATCTAATTGTATTTAATCTTATTTTTGTGTAGTAGGATATTCAATTGAACCGCTCCGGGTTATTATGATGCTGTTTGATCTGTTAAGCAATTTTACAGATATTGCAAAACATGGTCCTCTGTACGTTTATTTTCTAACTTTTACTAATACTACTGTTACTCCGACTATCCCCTACTTGCAACACTATTCCTCCCTATCCGGCATCTGTGATTATTATTCTGTGGTGCCAAATCTTTACCTCTACCCTTGTGATGTATGGACAGTGATGTTTTACTGAAGACTTGGACCTATGACCCCCTTCTGTGCTTGAAAATGAAAATGAAAATGAAAATGAAACTTCATCAACTTTGTAAAAATTAACAAAAATTTAAAAAAATCATAGTTTTTTTCAGTAAGTTACCATCCTATACTCTTCACCAAATTTTAGGGCATTTTTTTCGGTTTTCTTGATAAAAAAAATTGGGGGGAGGGAGGTGTCTTACGATATATTTTACGATTTTTTTTTTTAAATATAAATTTACATTTTTTTCTTTCAGTGAATTTTTTTCTCAAAGATAGTTTAATGCACTTACAAGACGCGACGCGAGACAAGACACTTATCGTTCTTACAACGTTAAAGTAAATTAAAATTTACCTTTCTGTCGACTGGTTTCGAGCGTGATGTTGCCCCTCTACGGGGCTGACCAACCACTGATTACTCAGGATGTTCATACGTTGTTCCGTACACATCCAATAAGAAGAGAAGATAAGCTTCTGGATTCTCAGATTTGTCAACTTGAAAAGGCAGGATATAATTGACCACTTTGTCAAGCAGTTTTGGCGTGACTTTCTACCAGCGATTCCACAAAACTGGACCAACTAATTTCTTTTTTTTTATGAAGCACACAAATAATGGCTACTTTTCTCGTGGTTCTAGAAGAAAAAATCTCAAAAATTATTTCAAAGTTCGAGTGGTAGTAAACGTCATTTTGAGCAGATCAATAGTTTTCTAGTTATGATTTTTTGAAAAAAAAATAATTCTTTTTTCAAACGCCCTTTTTAAAAGTTGCTTTGAAGAAAAAAAATCATATTTAAATGAAAATTGGTTGCAGCGAATATATGAGTAATATTTAATTTAAATCGGAAGCACTCATTTCCATCCGGTTTGCGTTTTGGGCTAGAAATGCTACATACTAATGATGATGATTGAATAATATTTCGAAAAGAAGTAAAAACCGACTTGAGTGACGGTGCCTTGAGCCTCAAGGAATTAAGTTAGAAAAATCGGACGCATCGATGTGTGAATAAATATGATATGATAATGATATTTTGGTGTTTACTTTCTCAAAATTAGCAGTCTGCATTAGACTACGGAGTAACACTGTAGTTCTACGACCGTTATCTCGAACACATTTATCTACTCGATTCGAGTTCATAAACTTGCAAGAGAGTAAGATGTTCGCTCATTCTCTGCAATCGAAGTGGAGGCTCGCCGGAGTGAGAGTTGGGAAATTTTCACAGCCTCGTCGTCGTCACTGAAGGAACCTGCTGTTCAGTTCACCAGGACATTTTATTGTGATAATATCCGTAATCAATGTATAGATGATTTAGTTTTCTCTGTTTCTTTGTACATAAGACCATAAAGTGTGATAACATTTCATAGTGTCACGAAATAGATTGTCATTTGGTGCATTGTAACAGTAACATGAAGATCGCCTGATTGTCCATCTCTACTTTTTTTTTCTCCATGTGAAAAGAAAACCCGTAAAACAGATTTCCCAGACCCCAGCAGACTTTCCGTCTCGGTTTCTCTTAACGGTAGGAAGAAGAAGAAGACAGAACAAAGATGTGTTTTTTTTCATTGAAGTCAAATGTGGGTGACTTTTTTCTCAAAAGGTGGTGAACATTTTCCTTAACCGCATATAGTCCAGGGGTTTTGTCGATACGAGCAGCGAGCCAAGAGAAGAAACTATGTGCTCATAGTACGAAGAATGGAATGAAGACAACAAATAAACGTTATGAAATTTCCGCACTAGTACCTCAACAAATGTAGCAAGACAGTGGGAAATTAGTGCGGTGCATTAGATTTGAAAGTGCTTCGTAGCTTATTGGTGTTATTTCATGTTAAAACGCCATTTTGACGTTTTAAAAATGCATGTATAAATTCTGCACCCGTGCGGTAGTGCGACACGGTTTTGAAACTATAATCATCACGAACGGATTCGAGAAAATGTGAAACGATGCACAAATGAAATAATCAGCCTGGAAAAGCAGGAAAGAAAATCAAGGAGTCACACAAGAGCTTCGATTTTCTCTCTATTATAACAGCAGCGTTGCGTGTCGTGGTGGTTGGTGATGTGCTGCGAACCCAGTTGAAGTAAAAAAAGAAGGCCGCCGCAACAGTCCAGTGGCAGTGTATAAAGCATAAGCCGTATCCCTTGATATACAGGAAAGGCGACGTCGTGACACTCTCCGTGTTGTTTAGGAGGAAAATGGATGGAGTACGGTTAAGAATGGTGCAATGTTGATGGGTTCAGTATTTAGTGCGATAATTAACCGTCGGCAAAAATAAATATTGATACACCAATAACAAGCCCAGGTCAGGTCGGAAGACAAATACAAGTGTAGTTTGAAAATTTCAATGTGAAATATCATATCGTTATAGGAGGATAACGTTAAAGGATTCCGTGTGCTCATTTATTATTTTGATCAATAAGTACCATAAAACCGCTGTGCGGTGCTGTGTGACAGGAGGTGAAAAAATAAATGAAATTATTTATAATTCAAAATCAGTGAAAGACATGCAATAGTTATGTAAAGAGGAAAAATAATTTGAGCAGACCAACTGCTCGTCACTGGAAAAGCGAGAGAAAGAGAGTGAATACAATGCCATGTGAATGTAAAAACTGTACATAAATGTGGTGCCAACAAACCTAGAGTGGTAGCTAGTGGCAATTTACTGCAAAAAAAAGGAAAAACGAAGGAATATAAACAGTCTGACGAAGAAAATCTGTGAAAATATTCTACTAGCCGTACTGAACTTGTCCAGTAATTTTGCATTTCTCCCCTACTAACACGAGCGTGTGTCCTGACGCAAACCTTCAGGTGGAATCGTACTCATACAATCGTACGCGTAGTCCGTCGCACCGGGTGTACCGGGTACTGTAGAGCATTATCCTTCGATGCTGATTGATGATATGCATAGTTGAGTAGCGTGCAGGAGAACGAAAACCCATCTTCACGGCTACTCTTGCGAGCAGTACCCGACCAGCCTGAGCGAAATCCGCTGTCCACTAAAACACGATCCTATGACGTCCCACGGGCAATGGGTGATTTGCTAGGGATGGGGTGCCCATGGCGCCCCCATGTGATTAAACAATTCAACTGATCAATGTTTGATGATTTGTTCCTTTCTATTCGATCCAACTCAAATACATTGCTTTTAAAAACATCGTGTCGAAGCCATAGAACGAAAACGAAAACGGAAATATCATATCAATACCCATAAGTCGGAGAAGGTCCTGCTCCAATGCGAAGGTGTGCGTGTAGTGTACCGATTTTCCTCATGCATTTCAAATGTCAACTCGCTATGGATATGATGCGGAATTATTGAAAAGCTCGGAAAATTTCTCTTCATTGCTGTAGCGGCAAGGGATACAATACAGTGGTTGGACATAAACGAAAGAGAAACGACTTCAAATAGACCGACAGCTAGCGAAAATACTTCAGAAACCCAACTCTACATTCCCGGTAGAAGACGTATCGTCGACGACGGAAGCTCGGTGGACCTACTGGATTAGTAAACATCATCGACTAATCTTCGCAAGGATATGGATGAGGAAATCGTTGAACGTACATTCCGCGAGAAAGCCTTATTTTACACGACTGCCTTTTTTATCTTGCTCGGAACCTTTAGCCTTTTCGCTTTTCTGTTCTTGGTGCCATTTGTTATTGAACCTGCTTTTACCACGATTTTCATGCAGTTCGATGAGTCACCGGCATTTTGTGTCACCGTCGATACTACGCATCTGTATGGCGCGAAAAACTGCAGCTGGGCTTCATGCCGTGAAGGCTGCACCAAGGACATCTATGACTGTCTGCAAATTCGCGTTAATTATAAAACTAGCGCACAGCTAGCAGCAGAAGCAGCCGCCGCAGAGGCTAGTACCGATGACGCATCGACGACGTCCACGGTTGCTTCCAAAGCAGTCCCAGCCACAGCTATAAAAAACACTGGTGATAGTAGTGTTAGTAATGCTAATAGCAAGAGTAGTCTAAAACATAATTTGGATAGCTTAAGTGGAAATAGTGAAACTAATAAACCAATTTCTACGGCGGATAGAGATTCCTCCTCCAGTCTGTACGGTAGGAGCAGATTTGATACTGCCCTGAGCCGATTTGAACGCGCAGTCCGTGCAGACTATGATTACATCGATATGCTTGTAGACGATAGAACCAATGGTTTCGTTGATCATAAGAATGGTCTCATTAGTTCAATCATCGGTGAAGATAACACTTTGATGGAGTATCCAGATGACATGAATGAAATGAACGGCAATGAGTCAGAATGGTTCTTCACAGGGGCGCGACTGTTTCCCAACGTGAAAGGTTGCGGGTATCCCCCGATACTTAATTGTACAATTTGGACCAAAAAGTATTTGAAAATAGGGACGAACTTCACGTGTTACTATTCCCGAGTGGATCCTGGACTGGTAATTAGCGACTTGGATATGTGGCAGAATACACTAAACCTCGTGTATGCAATGGCCATACCAATTCCTTCATTCATCATCTCCGTGATATACCTAGCGTTTGCATATTTCGTTATTTTCAACGAAGATGAAGAAGCTGCTTTGCTGGATAAGAACGACGAAGAAGAAGAAGAAGGTGCCGAGGACGAGTTGGACGAAACTGATGAAGGAAACGATAACAAAATTAACGAAAGTGAGGCGGAGATCACGGCGAACCACATCAACGAGAATAATGTGGACAGTGATGGCAATTTGGTACATAGTACCACTACGACACCGATCCAGCAACTACCGAATGGGACGGCAAATTCGATCACAAATATGAACAACACAAATACCAACACAACTGCAACTACCAACACGAACGGATCTTCGAAACCTATCACGCCGAATTCTACGTCCGATATGAATTCATTCGGTCACCAACTCAAGGTAAAAATGGCCGATGAAATGTCTCGGGAAAGCATCGATGGAGGATTACTATCGAATTCTGCGTCCATTCAAGGGTTAGTATGAAATGAGTTTTGATATTTGTTTATGTTTATAATAAAGCATGCTGTTTACGTTAAATGTTTTTTTTTTCCAAAGTATCTGAGGGTCATTGCGTTATTGTAGCGAAAATAATGGCTGAACCTTAAGTAAGCATGTAATAAAAAATAAATATATGTTCTTAATATGAAGTGCAGTGTGCCACAAGGCCGTTCTCACAAGGAATGGTCACGATGGTGAATACCGAATTTTCGAACGGAACTATTTTTTTTTCAGATTCAGCATGCTAAATGACGAAATCCAAAATATGAGCTGTGAAAAAGCAGATACGGATCTATCATAAATGATTATTATTAATTTTCCATTATATTCATAAATTTGAATAGTTTTATTAAATATATGAAGATGGCATGGAGGCATAAATACTTCAATTTAGAAATATGAAGAGGTTCAAAAACAATTAACTCATATCTAATTTAACCCAATAGAACCCCTCCTGGTCATATTCTTTATTTCGTTGGTATGCTGAATCTTCTAAAGGTTAAGGCTATGGACAGTGAAAATTTACGGAAAAAATAGACAAAAAATGGTCACGGTCGAAAAATGCGAAAAAAAAATAAATTTCGAGGCAATATTTGAACTAACAAGAGTTCTAGTGGTGAATGATTTTTAGATTGCTCGAATTCAGTAATCGTCTATGACAAGTATTATGTGTGTGACCTAATACCAACCAGTTAAAAACAAATAAACCATACATTGTATGTACAATCTGATAAGACGTTTTTAAGGCGTTTCGAAAACACCACGGAGCATTAGGACCAGTTTCATGAACTGACAATTTTTACAATGATCCGAATCCTCCGGTGGACAATCCCGTGATCCTCAGGGTCATTGTTCTGGCCACAACTCCGAATTCATACTTATAGTTATAAGACGTCTATAAGTGGTATAGAGAAATCCGCGGAGCTTTTTTTTCTTCCTTTATTTAACGTCGGTCTCTGTTCCACAATTTAGTGCCAATTACCGACGGACATCGATTGCCATCCATTGACGGCAATCGAATGCTTCCACACCAGCGTAGCATATCGCACCAATTCAAACACACATGGGCCGGGACCAACGGCTTTACTTCCCTTCCGAAAAAAGACGTGACCAGAGATTTTTATGCCTCAGAAAAATCCCACCGACCTCGGCTGGGATTTAACCCAGGCCCATTGGGGTGAAAAAGCAGTCACGTTTACCAATACAACACCGGCGCCGGCTCAAATCCATGGAGCTCAAGGATCAATTTCATGGATTGATCAGTTTTTTAGATGATCCGGATCTGCTAGTGGACTACCCCGTAGTTTCCAGGGTTCAATTTTTCGGTCATAACTCCAAATTCATTCAAAGTGTTTTTTATGTAACTTCATACGCGAAGTTAACGATTTTCAGAGTTGGTTGGAAATGCTAACATGAAGCTTTAGTGTGATGATTTATTAGCTAGAGAATGATCTTTAGAAGAGGGTAGGTGGATAGTTCCGTTAGAGTACGGCAGTATGAAAATTGAATAGAAGTTGAAAATGAGCGAAGGGCCATTAAAGCGACAGTTTTTCAAGATAGACGCACATTTTTGCCTAGCCCGTACGATGTACGCGGGGACTTGAAGTATGTAAGCCTGTGGACTTGGAGACATACTTCAAGTCCCCGCGTACATCGTACGGGCTAGGCAAAAATGTGCGTCTATCTTGAAAAACTGTCGCTTTAATGGCCCTTCGCTCATTTTCAACTTCTATTCAATTTTCATACTGCCGTACTCTAACGGAACTATCCACCTACCCTCTTCTAAAGATCATTCTCTAGCTAATAAATCATCACACTAAAGCTTCATGTTAGCATTTCCAACCAACTCTCCAAATTCATTCTGATGAGACGCCTGAGAGTGGTTTCGAAATAAAACGTGGGGCACTAGGATCAGCTTCGTAAATTGATCACTTTTACGGATGTGTCGGATCTTCCGGTGGACCACACCGTGGTCCCCAGGGTTCAGGTTCCAGTCACAATTCCAAATTAATTCTCATGAGATATCTATGAGTGGTTTTTTAAAAATACGCGGGGTGCTGGGATCAGTTTTACGGATGTTCCGCATCTTTTGGTGGTCCATTACGCTGTACCTTGGATCCATATTCCGGTCACAACTAAGAATTCATTCTGATGGCAATATGAGTGGTTTCGAAAAATCGACGGAGCTCTAGGATCGGTTTTATGAACTGACAATTTTTACGGATGTTCCGGATGTCCAGGGTTCATATTCCAGTCACAACTCCGAATGTATTCTGAGAATACGTTTATGAGCGGTTTCGAAAAAAAAAACATGGAGCCCTGGGATCAGTTTCGTGAATTGGCCACTTTAACAGATGTTTCGGATCTTCCGGAGGACCATTACGTGGTATTCAGGGATTCCAGTTACAACGATGAATTAATTTTAATACGAAGTTTATAAAAAAAAACGCAGAGCTCCAAGATCAGTTTCATACATTGATCACTTTTACGGATTTCCGGGTCTTCTGTAGAACCAGACTTGTGACTTTCCGGATGAATTTTTTTTCCAAAAGGTGGTCATGTATCTTGTCAATAACTTTTTAAAATAGAGCAAATTACCCTACAATAAGAGTTTGTCCCTTTGGGGGCGACGTTGCATTAATACTGATACTATATTGTCAAACTTTTCAATTACTAGCATAACTATGTCATCCCCAAAGCCTGCAAGCTCGAAACCTCTTGAGAAGATTGTCTACAGCTAAAGACCACATAAGTGGCGAGAGTACACCTAGTTAAGGACAGCCTTTTGTTGGCCTTACTTTTATAGAGGACTGTATGATCTTTTGCTGGGGGATTTTGTAACCTAGAAACTATAGGAGTTTTTTTTTCAAAAGATTAGCTTATTTGAATCCAAGATCACCTCTTAAATTTTTTGATTTTATGTTTGTATTCGGTAAGGACTCTTCTATACTGAGTCCAATCCGATGTGTGTTTCTCTTGTTGAATAATTTTCAAGAATTTTCCCGAAGCTATTCTAGCTTTTTGTTCTACCATGGCGCGTTAGACTGATGCAAAATTTGAAATTTTCGCTCCACAGTGCTCAAACGGTTCCAAATTGAGTCCTGATTAGCCTCTCAACATTTGAACTCATTTAATAAGATCTGCCTCCCTGGCGTCGGTAGCATTGGTGCTCAGCACGGAATACAAGATCGACGGAAAAAGAAATCAAGGAAAAAAAAAGAAGATATGAACCGAAATTATGGTTACCCCATAGTAATTTCCATATAAACTTCAAATGGTTTGTGCCAAGTCAGTTTCTTATCAAATGAGTTTAAACGTTCGGAGGCTAATGAGGACCATATTTTAAGCCTTGTGAACACTGTGGAGCGAAAATTTCAAATTTTGCATCAGTCTAATGGCACGTCCCTGCTCGATGAGTATTGCTTGATAGAATAATTAATGAACTTACTTTGTATCACAACTTCTACTTAATATGAATCTTAAAAAATAGTACGCTTTGATGAGTAAATGAGTAAATCATAATCCCTGTACCGTGGAAGCACCATATTTGACGCGGGTCCAAACTTGACGCACTTTCCAATCAATTCGATCATAACTCCTGTTTCGGTTTGAATTGCACCGAAATTGTAATTTTCTGTCCTTTGTTTACACTCATGCCACCCATTCATAACAAAAAACATACTTTGTTTATTGCTAATAAGAGCAATCAAAATCAAAACGAAAAAGCCATCTGTCAAATGCGTCATTTTTTTCTCATCGTAGCAACAACGCTAAGGAGCAAGTTTAATGTTTATTGTTACTTTTCACGCAGAAAATCAGTTTTTGTGTAATAATACGTTACTAACTATTGAACTGTAAGTATTTTTAACGTTTAACAGCTGATTCAGCAATATATAGTATGTTTAGAGCACATTATTTAACGAAAATGTTTTGCGTCAATTTAGGCTCACAGTGGCCCTTATTATTTTCTATGTGAAACATGGAGCCCAAAACAAAGTACATGACCTACAGTAAGACTGCACTCGGTAAAGCCGTGGACATGGCACGAAGAGGTACATCAGTTCGGAAATCTGCTGCCTCGTTTGGTATTCCGGAGGCAGCCAGAGAAGCGAAGAAATTGGCCGCAGCAAAACGTCTTGAAAATAAACCTAAATCTGCTCCAAAGAAGATGAAATTGATTGTTTGATCTTTAATGATTTGTATATTTACCATATTTCATCAACCATTCAATAAACACTTGTTTTTTGTTGAAATTAAGCTATTTTTTTAAGTGCGTCAAATAAAGAACACCTTGCGTCAAATAAGGCACATTACAGATTCTATGCGTCAAGTTAGGAACCCAAAGTACCAAACAGAAATTTATTATAACATCAAGAAATTAACAGATATTTACGTTTTATTTATTTTTCCTACATTCTGTATTTACTGAACTATTACTGTGTAAAATATTGATTGAATTGGTAAGACTCTCATTTTTTAGAACATGTTTGAATTTGAAATTGTCTTAACTGCGTCAAGTATGGTGCTTCCACGGTAGACAATTTTTTGGAGGTCCTATTCTAAGATAAAAATATTTGATTGCGCAGCGAGTGTTTCGTAATTGGATGAATCAATCAAATTGTATTGTCTATTTTGAAAAAAAAAACACTTCTTTTATCCTGATGGCGGAAAGCTGGATATGACACTCGGACCTCCTCAGATCAGAAGTCGGTTTTACAAGCGACGTAAGAAGGGCAAAAAGGCTTTACGACCGTATAAACTTAACAGTAGCACCTTTTTCAGAGTCACAAATTGTCAGCCCAGAATGGCTTCGCTTTGAAGCCGCGCTTTTGATGGCTAGCCTTAACGAAGGTCCATGGTTGAATTTTAATGATTTTGTTGCATTTCTAGAGCGAAAAATGAACAAATAGTACTAAATAAAAACGTTGTGAAATACCTATACATTCTTTATTCAGTACAAAAATGTGGACAGACT